TAATGACTGAAATTAATAACTAAATGGACACTTCAGAAACAAACTAGACACAAATGAAGAAAGGATTAGTGAACTGAAAATGGCCAGACTGAAGAGCAGTGCGATTGGAGGCCAGCTAGGAAAGAAATAGTGGTTTCCTCAAATTTGATAATAATTTTACATATATGACATTACCAATAATAAGTTATGAACTGAAACTTTTCTGATCTCTCATTAATTAAAAAGCCAATTTTAATCAACTATGCTAGAAGACTGACTTATCCTTGTATTTTCTCTATGGAAATGGATATTACCAAATCATTGGTTATAGTACAAGGAGACAAATGGGGAAGAAGCCAAAATATTTGAGAGAACAAGTATTATAGCGATATCTCAAGCAGTCATTTAATATGTTCTTTTTCTGGGTTTTATGATGTTTGTGAAATTTATCAGCTTATTTAAATTAGTAATTTATTGTGATTTCTACATTGAATGTATGATTTATAAGGTTTTAAAATATCCATTCTCAGGCCGGGTGCGGTGGCTCATCCTTATAATCCTAGCACTCTGGGAGGCCAAGGCAGGTGGATTGCCTGAGCTCACAGGTTCAAGACCAGCTTGAGCCAGAGAGAGACCACATCTCTAAAAGTAGCCGGGCATTGTGGCGGGTGCCTGTACTCCCAGCTACTTGGGAGGCTGAGGCAAAAGAATCGCTTAAGCCCAAGAGTTTGAGGTTGCTGTGAGCTGTGATGCCACAGCACTCTACCAAGGGTGACATAGTGAGACCCTTGTTTCAAAATACATATATTCAGTCTCTGCCAAATTTTGTATTCATCATTTTATTTGGTGTTTCTTATAAAGCATGCTCCAAAGTGTGCCCATAGAACCTGGATAAGCTCTTGTCATCTAAGGTTGGAACCAGTGTTCTGTCTACAGCAGTCATTCTGTTAATCATCAAAGAAAGCAAGTGACATGATTCACAGATGATAATTCAATACTCTAGGTTCACCCAGTGAGACCTACCAGAATTCATTCATTCCTTTATTCTTTCCTTCACGCATCTATCCATTCATCAAGTCAATAAACATTTATCAAGAACCTACTACAGGTTAGGGACTATTCTAGTGTCAGGGAATATACCAATGAAGGAGACGCTTCCCACTTTTTTTAAGCTTACATTCTAGTGTTTGCAGACAGACAGTAAAGAAACAGATGGGTCAAGTATGAATGACTCATGCATGTAATCCTAGCACTCTGAGAGGCCAAGGTGGGAGGATCGCTTGAGCTCAAGAGTTCAAGACCAGGCTGAGCAAGAATGAGACTCTGTCTCTAGTAAAAATAGAAAAAATTATCTGGGCGTCATGGTGAGTGCCTACAGTGCTAGCTGCTCAGAAGGCTGATGAGGAGGACTGCTTGAGTTTAAGGTTGCAACCAGCTAAGCTGGTGTCACTGCACTCTGCCTGGGGTGACAGAGTTAGGCTCTGTTGAAAGAAGGAAGGAAGGAAGGAAAAAGTAATACTGAATGATATTTACTCAAGAGAAATGAAGATATATATCCATATAAAAACTGTACATGAATACTTACAGCAGCTTTATTCTTAGTCATCCCAAACCAAAAACAACACTAATGTGCACTAACTAGAGAATGGATAAACACAAATGGTATGCCCAATGCAATGGAATACTACTCAGCAATAAAAAGGAATTACTGACATACACAGCAAAATCAAGTTGAAAGAAGCCAAATTCAAACAGCTACATGTTGTCTGTCTTTTATATGACACCAGGAGCTGGGGTTGGAGGAGAGACAGAGTAGAAAGGGGCATGAGAGAATTGGGGGGTGCTGTGGAAATATTTTCTGTCTCCATTGTGGCAATGGTGCTGACGTGGATGTATAAATTTGTCAAAATTGATACAAACATATGTCTAAAAATGCACCGTCCCTAAATTATACCTTGATAAACTTGAAAAAGGGACCTAGATGGTGGGGGTAGTGTTGGTCAGTTCCTTAGGTCGAGTGGCCAAGAAAGACATCCTACAGGAAATGATGTGCAATGCATGAAATGAACCTCTTTTAAATTCCTTGTTCTATTACTAAGAGGTTATTTAAAAAAAAAAAAAAGGATTGGAGAAAAATTTTTTTTCCTTTACTCTGAAAAAGCATGTGTTTTAATTAAGAGAGAATCTATGAAAACCCCACTCTCTAGGAAGATTTACAAGGGCAAAAATGCAAATTTAGCCTATTTTCAAAGGATTTTATTGACAGGAACAGTTCAAAAAAATCTCACCCAGGGAACCCTTTCAGGCTTTGCTCTGTGTTTCGTGATCAAGTTTGTGCCTTTTTTTTTTTTTTGCCTCTATGCCTATTAAGTTGCCAGAAATGATACTTAATCACATCAAAGCCTAACACTTTAAAAGATAACAGGTGCTAGAGAAGGTCAAAGTTCTGTGCTGCCCTTTCCTCTCTTGCACGGCTCTAAGTTGGAGCAGGCTTGCTGGGAAACCTCGTACCTCCAGCACCTGCCCTCTCACCACCCCCTGAGTCTGCTGCCAGCTGTGGGAGTCCCAGCATTGTGCAAGACACGAGTTGAGTTTCCATATGTTTTAGAAAAATCAAACTAGGGAGAAATTAGGAACTGGCAGCTCATGTAAACTGTTCCAACATGAGGGACTTGCTTGTAAAGCATTTCTCGAAGGATGCTTTACAAGAAATTAAATCAAGGTTTCTCTTGTAAGAAAGGGAACAATCTCCTTGGAATCAATGAAGCTGGGTTTCTAGAACAGCAGCGGAGTCTTTGAAATCACCATGGTGACCCCTCTTCCTTAGAAGGGGTTCATCCTGGCATCAGGCAGGATGCCTTTCCTTCAGAAAGGCAGAGTTTAGAGTCAGTCGTTTCCATTGTCCAGGGAAGGGACAGAGCGTCAGATTCTGTGGGTGTGTTTTTTTCTTTTTGTAAATTGAAAACTTCATATTAATTCCATTATGTAAAGAAATACAACACTGCACCTATACACGTTAGGAATTATCCTTTAAAGTTCATTTTCATTTTTATCAAAGCAATGAATCTACACTGTTTAAATAAAACAGCATTAAAAAGCAAATGTTGAAAAACTATAACATCTGTCTCTTTCTTTCTTTTTTTTTTTGCTTTTAATTTGTACAAGTTTGGGGGGCACATGTGCAAATTTGTTAGATGCATAGATTGTATAGTGATCAAGTCAGGGTTTGTAGGGACTCTAGCACCTGAATAATGTATATTGTACCCATTAACCAGCTTCCCACCATCCTCCAGACTCTATGTTTGGGTACTTTCTAAAGAAATATTTTGCTCTCCCCCTCCCCTGCCTTTCTCCTC